GCAATAACGATTAATTACAAGGACTTGGACTCTGATTTCCTCTTTGGAAATAGATGCTCATATAGCAATAACTGTGAAAGAACAAAATAACACAAGCAAAATTCTGTAATCCACAGTATCATCATTATCTTTCAATCATTTTTATCAATTTTCATTAACTTAACTCTTTTAACAAATTTTTCAAAAGCAGGTCTCATCAGAGGCTTGATGAAGCTGTTAGCTATATTGACTGTAGAATCAACATATTCTATCATAATTTCATCTTTTTCAATCAAATCATAGAAAATATGATATCTAATCTCAATATGAGGTGATTTTCTTATTAAGAATTTTTCTTTCATTAAATCTATTGTTTTTTTATTATCAACTTACAGATGTAAGTATATCTTCACTTTTCTTTTTATCAATTCAACATCATATAACATATCATTCAATCAAATTATTTCACATACTGTTTTATTCATTGTGATATATTTTATTTTAATGATTGATTTTACAACTGAGATTTACTGTTGTGACTATTATGAAATTAATGCTTTATTTAATAAAATAATGTAATTTATAATTGATTTATATTGAAGATTCACTTCTGTTTAATCTGAATCATTATATATTATAAAATTAAATCTTTTAATTATCTTCTTCTTGTATAGAATACTGTGATTCTTCATTTTCTTAATGTAATATAAAATGTGTTTTAATACCGCCCAACATTTCTTATATGAATGTGAGTTGAAATATGAAAGATAATTGACAGTAAATATCAAATCTGATTTGCTGATTGATATCAAATACTGCAGCAATTCTAAATTTTGATGATATTTAATAGCAATAAGATCCATCATCTAATTCACTATCTTCATTTGATGAGAACTGTAGACATATATCAATCATCATCAATGTGCTGACTAAGTTAACTTTGTTCATTTTAAAATTTTTAAGAATTTCATTGATATAATGATTCTGAGCAATTGCTAAGTCAATGTTCATTTGATATCTCACTTACATTTTAAGATAGAGCTTGTTTTTTTCAATATTTTTTATTTCAAATATTTTTACAATTTTTATCAATACTCAACTCAATTGCTGTTTTTGAGGTTCTATTATCTGACAATTATCAACATGCAATGTCAAATAGATCTTGTGAGTAAAGTGATATAAAAATTCATCATTATATGATGAGATTTTGAATTTCAAAGTGATGAGATGTTTTATTGTAAGAAAATATCATATTTTCATTGCTTACTTCATTCTGTAAAAACTCTGACAGAGCAGATCAATTAGACCTTTTCTATTATATTTAATCTTTGTAGACAATTGCATATATATCATCTCATATTGCAGTAGTATGCTGTTCAAGAATACAGAGACATAATTAATTGCCTTGACTTTTCATTTTTTTATTATTGCAATTGCAAATAAGCTCTGAAATATGAGTTCTGATATCACTGCAATATACAACTTTATATAGTGAATTTTTTGCTGTTGAAGAAATCCTCTAACCACTCAATAAGTTTTAAACTAAATTGTCTTTATTTTATTGTTCAATTTGTGATTAAATATTCATTTATCAATTAAAATATTTATGTCTGAGATCTTTTCAACAATAATATATATCTTTTTCTTCTCAAATATACTGACTTCTTTTCTCATTGTCTTATATGAGTAGTCTCAATCAGAGCTTTTTTTGACTTCCATCACAGCATTTGAATGATCAGTTAGAATACTTGAAATAAAATCATTTTCATTAATAAAATTCTATAATTCATCATTCTCAATTAATTTCTGGTTCATTATTTAAAAAATAGACTGAATGGACTACAGCTTCTAATTCTCCATTAGCAATCATCTTTAAAACATTAGATTTCACTTTCATTAGACATTGTAGAAACCAGTATTGTCACTCATCAACAACATCTAACACATTCAATTTTTCTGGTAATATATTTAATTATTTCATTATGTTTATAGGATATGGGTTTCATTTTTGTTTGATTTTTCATCAAATACAAATATCTCATGTGATCTCAGGACAACAGCTGATTGAAATTCAGATACAATATTGATGCAGCTTTTAATAATCAATTAGTTGTCATTTTTTTATCAATCAATTTTATCTGTAGATTTATCAAGTATTTTAAAAAGTCTTTTTTAGAGAACTGTGGTTCTCCCATCTGTATATTCAAGGAGC